CCTGGATCCTACGGGATGAGAAAATTTTGGATGGGTCGAGTCAACTCAAGTCAAATTTGTAAAATCGGGTAGGGATATTTCTGAAATTTCACCACTCTAAATAAGCTCAAAAAGAACTTATGGAGCGGAGCTTCTCCAATAAGCTGCAAAATATTTTATTTAAAACCTTATAAGCACTTTTGAAATACAACTGAATAAACCTCTCCCCTTATAGCCTGATGACAAACTCTTTAATCACTGAGGTTAGCTATATCCAAGAGATTTTGTGTTCAAGTCTATAAGAGATATCTACCACACTTGTGCAATTAGTTACCTTGGTTCATTATAGTTGTAGGGTGTTCCTCAAAGCCCTAAAGATTAGACAGACTCTAATATGGGTCTAGATGTCCTAGATACCTTAAAAAAAAAAAAAAAATACAACCGAACAACCTATAAACTTATTTAGCCAATAAATAAACCTAACCAAACAAGCCCTTATTAATTCCAGTTAATTGTCTATCACCGACATTAAAAGTTAAAATTATTATCATTAAATACTAAAAGTTAAAAGTTTCAATCAAACTTTAAATTAATATCATATTTAAAAAAATTTGTGTGTATGCGTGTATGTGCGTGCATATACAATTATACACACGGGAGATCTTTAAAGTTTATGCAATATGGTAATCATTTTATTTGGAAATGATGATCTTAATATAATGGTTATAGCTGGTGTTTATTTTAAGAGCAATACTAGTCTTACAAAGACAAAAATAAAGAGGACATACAAACACAATTTTTATCCTTCATCTTTATGATTTCTCTCTCTCTCTCTCTCCCTCTTTTTCTGTTTTTTCTTTGTTTTTTCCTTCTTGCTGATGTCACTTTGTAGCTCTCTTTGTATTGTCTTTGTAAGGATAGCATTTTTGTTATTTTAATTATTATTTAATTGAAAATTTTCAAATTTTAAAAGATTTGGGCCATCAATTTGACTTATAAGTAAAGAATAAAAGACTGGTCCTAGGAGCCTTTGCCCTCTGTGTTGTAGTCAATATCGAGTTATGGTTAAATTAGAATTAAAGGATAATATTATACTTACAATTAAATCTCACAAACTTTCTCTCACAACGTTGACGTAACAGTTCGTAATTAGTCAGTTTTTAAGTGGGTCATATATGTCCAATTGCAAGCTAATCAATTACGAACTGTTATGTCAGGATTATGAGAGAAAATTTGTAAGATTGAGTTGTGAGCTAATCTTTATTGGAAGAATTAACAATACTTCATCCTTATCCCATTCTATATTTAAATAATATAAAAATAAAATAATTTACAAAAAGATACATAGTCCTTAACATGAAATTTCCAACAACGAGTTTGGGCTTGGATGGGCCCATTGGTAGACAAATAAGAAATAAACATAATATGATTCTTTATTCTCACATATTTTATCATTCAAACTCGTCTTCAGTTTTTGTTTTATTTTATTTTTTTACTTTTTATGACGAGGTGTCTCGGGACTCCAGAGTAGTTTATACACACCTCAATTAATCACTCGAGATCCTAGAACCCTTAGAACTACTAGCTGAATAAGAGCTTTAGGGACTACCCCTATTAGTAACCTATTAGCAACCGATGAAGGATTCGAGTTTATGACCTCTTGAGTAATACATCCAAGAATCCTTATTGAACCACTCAATCACCCAAATGTAGTTAACTCATCTTCAATTTAAAAGAGGAAGTGAGTTTTAGCTCCCATCATATTGGTAAATATCTTTAATTTTCTTTTTTTGTTTTATAATTTTAACCTTAATGAAAATTTCTATAAATAACATAATAATTTTCAAATATATTTCTGCTTTATTTTTATATATATTTTTTTAATTTTTAACCTTTAATCTAAATCTTCTAAATCTTTAATTAATAAATTGAGAAAACGGTGTAAATAAAAAACCCCTAATTAAACATAAGCAAGGTTATTTTTTGTGTTAAATACGGGCTTAAGAGTTTTTTAATATATATATAACTGATTTTTTATTTTTTTGGGTGAGCATAGATTATAAAGTTAATATTTCCCCACAAAACCAACAATAAAAATAATGAAAACAATAACATTGCAATCCGAAAGTGAAAAATATATGCAACTAATTAAGTAACAATCAATGGAAAGAAGAAGACTATGACTACTGTAATTCTATACGAAGTTTACTATGCTAGCCACTTGGGACTATCTGGTTTCTTTTCTTCAAAACAAGGAAGATCAGGAGGATGCCAACATAATTTGATATATTGAACGTGTTTTGCATCAGAGGCACAGGCAAAGTGTCGGTGCAGCCATAATCGTCTATTTCCATAAATGGTTGCGCGGATCTGGTAGAAGGAGTGTACTGAGATCTACGAGTTGGTTGTATTTTAGAAGAAGGCGAACAAGGATGCACATTTTGTGTCCCAGGAGCAAAATTGGTAGAGAAAACATTATGATAATTTCTTCGGATTTGTGATGAAGTATCGCCAATAGACCCAAAATTATGTTCAATCATAGGCAGCATTGGAGTCAAGAGAGGACAATGTTTCAAATTGCATTAATGAATACTCTGTTGGAGGCGCAGAATGGTTGAAACCAAACTGATCTTGAAGAGTCCCTTGCATCAATTGATGAGGCGCAAAGTTGTGACAACCTACGTGCTGATCATAAGTATGATGAAGTGCTGAATTGAGTTCATCAATATTTTTCTACAGTGAAGCCGTAGAACAAGTAGAATTATCAGCGTTTGTTTGAATTTGAAGCTCAGAGCTAACTTTACTACTAGTTTCTTCATTCTCGTCCTTCGTTTGCATCCCTTTTTATAGACTCTGCACAATAGCCAATCATCCAACTGTCCAAATAATCAAAAGTAATTAAACTTTATATTATGGTTATTATCAATCAAAGAACATTTATTTTAAACGGGGAAAACTGACACAAATTTCATTTATTGATGAATGATATTTTTTACCTTAATGTTATTGTCAGCAGAAATGACACTTGAGCTCGAAGCAATCTGAGAATTTTAGTTGGAATTAGGCTTACTTACAGCAGATATGCTATGTTGATCCATTACATATTCATACATGATCCAGTTAGTCTTTGTTTATTTTTTATTGTCTCCGTTATGATAAACTAAAACCCTCCTGCTCGCTACTTTGATATTGTTTATTTTGATGGGAGAACTAGTGGCGCAAGCCTTCCAACATCCTTCGCCGGCCTTTCATTTCAGATGGTTTCCATGTAGGAAATTCCGTTCCCTTGGCGAGAAGAAGTACATGGCGGTTTCTCATTGTCTCATGTGCAAATATGTTCTCACCGAATTTATAAAAACATAAATCATTAATGTTAGTCCTCCATGCATACATTAATTTCACTCTAGTTTATAAGTATTGATTAACTGCCTTTTATACAAACAATCTGTACAAACAAAGATTAGTTAGAAAGCTAAAGCAGGAAATCGGACAAAAATAACTTGTTAGATAGCTAAGAGATAAAGAACACATCAAATGAACCCACAAGGGTTTAGCCGTTTAGAAGATGCTATAGGTATCTGAATTATGTTCCAATGTCCTCTTAAAAGGTTCAAAAAGAGAGATAAAAATGTTTGTTTTCTTCAAGTCTTAATTTGTCAAGATGAGTCCATGAAGAACAGCAAGAACCAGAGTTGAAGAATATTGATCTGGGTGGGATCACTGCACATCGTTAACAGTGGAGAAATTCGCTTATAAGAAGTTGTAATGATTTATAAGAAGATGTATGAATACATATATGTGATTTAAAAGGGCAATTAGTAGAACGGCTTCAAAGTTTCTGTCGTCAAGGGGTCTCAGTTTCAGTTCAAGTTCCAAGAATTTCCGGTATTTCCAAAAAAAAATTGTTGTGTTTTCCACGGATGAAACCTCAGGCAAGCCAAGTTAGGGTTCAGTTAAAGAGGAGCGGTCTTGTATTTATTTATTTATTTATTTTTCTTTTTTGAAATAAACCTAACAAGAATGAAACTATTAAACATACTTCATACATAAACGGAAAGAAACCCTAAGGAGTTGCGCAAGAGAAGATTAAACTGAAAAAGTTAAGACAAGATGAACAATTTATATATATTGAATAACAAAACGCCAAAAGAAGAAAACTAAAAAGGAAAAACAGTTTAAACCCATCAAAAGAAACTAAAAAAAAAAACTTGAATAGTAGACTGAATAAGAAAAACCAAATAAATAAAAAAAGATAGATAATTCGATTAAAGAAGACGAACCGTATAGTTCTTGAGGATGTTAATCATAAGATTAAGTTCTGCAATATTGTTGTAAGGCAAATCATTGTTCAAGACATTGTTGCTCAAGTAATGAACCACCAACTCCTCGTCAGTTGGGTTGAACCTATACCCCGGTGGGAATATGAAATTCCTTGTAGCTGAAAGAATTGATGTTGAAAAACTACTTAAGCTTTGTTTATGTATAAATTATTTCTCTACGAATTAATTCAGAGTTTTTTTTTTTTGGCTTTTTTTATTCAGTTTAGGAGTTGTATTTCGTATACAACTCAGATAACCTATAATTACGGAGTTAACATATTCTAGATTATTTTTTCCTTCAAGTAAATGGGGGCATTAATTATAAGTTAAATTTTAATTTTTTTTAATTAATAAAATGTACCCTAATTTGTAAAATCATCTATCATAATTCATAAACTTGCCATGAAAGTTTCTACAATACATAATTGCTCTCTCCCAACTTGTAATTTTTCTTTTCCTTGTTGTTCATCACCATTGATGTTTTATATTAAAGCTTCTTATATTAAAGTTCTTGCTATGAGCTTAGTGCGACAAGATGCGGACGTTTTTTGGTAGAAGAAGAAGAAGTTTAAAATAAAATTAAAACAATAAATTTGCAATTTAAAATATATATAGAACTATTATAGTAACAATTTGAGTAAATGTAAGTTTAATAAAATCAACAAGAAGAAGACAACTAATGACCCTACCTAAGCTCACTAATTAATTAGGAAGATAAAGATTAAGATCTTGTAGCTGGAGATAAAGATTAGGATCAACATCAAAATCAGTAACAAAAGGCTCAGAGTTGATGGAACTATTATTGTCTCCCACATTGCATTGATCCATTCTTAGCATTGGCGGCGTAAAGCTAGGCGTACCAAAAACATTATCCGGCACAAAATTGGTAGAATCAACACTATCTGTGGCATCACATCCATTAGCTCCTTGCACTGCAGACGCCACGCAGTTTGAACCAACGTAATTTGCGGCATTGCACTCGTTTGGTTGAATCGAAGGCGAAATGCCTATGGAACCAACATACTGTTGCCCATTGTATTGAGTTTGTATCCAGGGAACAAAGTTTGTAGAGCTAACGTTATGATAATTAGTTGCTTCCATTGGCTGTGCAGTTCTAGTTGAACTAAAATTATGATGTCTTATCTGCAATGGAGGCAAGACGTTGATAGGACCACCATAACTCTGCAAATTATATTGATGATGATGATCAGTTCCTTGCAGGAATGATGCAAAGTTTTGATAACCACCAGCATTGTGATTAGCTCTTTGCATTGAAGCCATTGAACATGTGGAATCATGATTATGTTGCAGATTGCCCCCGTCATTCCGTTGTATAAATGGCGCAACGTTGTGATTATTACCAACATTCTGATGAGTTCTTTGCATCATTGAGGCCATTGAGATTGCGGAATCAAGATTATGCTGCAAATTGCCCCCATCATTTCCTTGCATTTGAGGCTCCGAGCTAATAGAGCTAGCACCACTGCTACTAGCTGCTTGATTCTTGTTCTTTGATTTGTGATTCTTCAAGTAGACCTTGCACAAAACCCAATCGTCCAACTGCCCAAAAAATAAAAAATAAGCAATATTTATATTATTACATACGGGTTGGGATACTTGACTTGAACAAATCTCAATAATTAGACCAAATTAAAGAACGATAATTTACCTTCATGTTGCTGTCATCAGGAGTGGCATTTGATCTCGAAGCGGCTGCCTGACTTTTTTGGCTGTAAGTCGGTTTACTTGCAGCTGGAGTGCTATGTTGATCCATTACATATTCATACATGATCCAGTTAGTCTTTGTTGCATTTTTATTGCTGCCATTATAATAGATCAGGGACCTCTTGCTTGCTACTTTGATATTGTTTACTGTGACCGGATGATCAACCCCAGTAGCCTTCCAAAATCCGTCGACGGCCTGTCGTTTCGGCCGGTTTCCATGTGGGTACTTCCGATCCCTTGGAGTGAAGAAGTACATGAACTTACCCCCTTCCTTCTTGTGCGAATCTGCACTCACAGAATTTATATATATAATAAAACATAAATATCATTAATTTAAGCCATGAAGAATTTGTTGGATTCCTAAGAGAGAAACAAAAAAGCAGTTTACTTAGAGAGCTATAGTAGTCAAAGAAAATCAAAGAAAAAGAGCGATTAGTAGGGCGGCTTCAAAGCTCAGTTCAAGTTCCGGGAATTCTTCAAATTTCCGGTTTTTCCGATGAAAACTTGTACAGAATTAGAAAATAATATTCTTTTTATGCGACAAATTAATTCTAATGAAAAACTCAAAGATGTCACATACAATAAATACGAATTTTAAACAGTAAATTTATGAAATTAAAGAAGAGAAGCGATCTTGAATTCTTTTTTTTTTTTTTTTTTTAATTAAATTTTCATGTTCTAATAATGCTCAAAAACAGAAAAAAAATCAACTTGAAAAGGAAAAAAAGGATCAAATCCATGAAAAGATAACAAAAATTAATGAAGAGAAACTTGAAAAAGGAAAGACTAAACTAATTAAAGAAGACGAACTGTAAAGTTGTTGAGGATGATAATCATAAAGATTAATTTCTTGAATGATGTTGCAAGGCAAAGCATTCTTCAAGATTTTGTTCTTCAGGTAGTCGACCGCCAGTGCTTCGTCAGTTGGGTTGAACCCATACCCAGATGGGAATGCCATGTTTCTGCTTCAACTTTCAATTAATTAAACAAAACAAAGAGGAAAATTATTGTTAAGTTTTGTTGATATATATATATCTTTTATCTTCTAATTAATTAATTAGGAGTTGCATTTCCATTTATTTTAGGAATTCTATTTGGTTTACAAATATAAGTAGCCTATTATTTCTGAAAGTATATATAAATTTCAATTATTATTTTTTAATCATTTTCATCGATAAGATATTTTCTATTTTGTTATAATGTGGCCTTAAATTTCTAGAATCATCTATCATAAATAAAGGCTCTACCATCTCTTATTGATAGTTCACGAATTCTTCCTGGGGAATAAAATTCAGTTTCTTTTTCCTTTTTCAATTATTTTCACCTCCCTCGATCTGTCATTATGTCTTTCTTGATATGATGTTCGAAGAATTCTAAAGAAGCGAACTGATATTTCGGAAAATATTCTTGTAGAAGAAAGAAGAAACAAGATCGAGAGTTATTGTTATTTCTGAAGTTTTGTTTTTTGTGAATTAGAGCTATGATCAAATCAGCCAATGAGAGGGTGTGTGTCAAACAGTTCGTTGGATTATATTTATAATGTTTTGGAGGGAAAGACAGTTAATCGAAAAACTTACCTAAATTCACGCCTTAATTTCCGGATTTAGTTCATTGTGAAATATCTAACTGCTGCCAAGCCAGCATAGGGCTAAAACTAACCATCCTCTTCAATATTCAACTGTCACTTCTTAGCTGAGTTTCAATGGAATCACTGTTTATTTATTTATTATTTTGTTGGTTACAGAATCCAATCAATCCGTGGCTTGCCTTCAGCTCCTAGTTTACCCAAGATCTCTTTTTTCTTCGTATAATAATGGCAAATGGCTGGGACGGACCCATAAATTAATTTTAAAGGGGACAAATTCAAAATAATATAATAGAATATAAGGGAAAAGAAAATCAATGGGGTGATAAAATACTAAAATCTAAAAATTTCAATACAAATACACGATAGTCAAAATAAAAAATCAAATCAAATGGGGTTACTTGCCCTTACTCATCAATTTGTAGGTCCGTCCATGACAAGTGATACTCATTACATTTTTTTTTTTTTTTTTTAATGACCAGTGGTTTCAAACCAGTTCATATGTATCTCAATTAATCCTCGGAGCCCTCGAACTAACAATTGAGTAAGAACTCAAGTGACCACCCCTATTAGCAATCATGAGAACTCGAACTTGAGAACCATGCTAGATCCTCATCTTGCTCTTTATCATCAAAGTAACTCACACTTGGGAGACATGTTAAATCATCTTTTGCTCTTTTACCGTCAGACTATTCATCATAGTTTTTCAATACACTTGCCTAAGAGTACAAGATTTTATTTATTTTTTATTATTTTTTTTAGGAGGGGGGGGGGGGGGGGGGGGGGGGGGGAGTTTGGGGCAGGGTGGGGGGGTGCGTGGGGGTAGGAAAGATACATAATGGTAATATTAATTATGTCATGTAATGATAATTGGTAACATGGTAACATGTAAAGATATTATATTGAGATAATTAAACATTATTATTTGGTTGAATTTTGATTAACATGTCATTCCATGTGTTACTGAGATATCATTGAGTTACTTTAGACCTTGATTAATTCTGTGATATGAAGATTTTGAAGTGGATTAAATGAACTTTAATATTTAATATTGACTATATAGTTAGCTGTATATTTAGTTTATGTAAATAAACTTGCTATCATTATGCTAGTAAGTGTGTACAATAAGTCATTAGTTTAGAAAAGTCAATATGCATACTTTTAATAAATAGAATAGCTGAGGTTTAAAGGCACTCTACAACATTATTGAATATACATGAACATTTCATTTCTCTCTCTTCTCTATAGAACTTCTTTCTTTGTTCTTGTTTGTAAGATGGTATTAGAGCTTCGATCCTGACCCATTACATCAAATTTTCACAAATTTTTTTCCTCTTTAAAATCAACATTCAAATCCAAGTGATCCCATATTGATCGTTTCTTGAATCATGCATTCTTTTCTTTTGAGAAGATTTCTTGAATTAATCTTGATTGAAGATGAATGAAGTTGAGGGTAATAGTGTTCGAGGAGTGATAATGGTGACAGACTATACCAATCCACTCTATTTGCATCCGTCCGACACTCCTGGTAGTCTAATTGTTGGACAAATTTTGATTGGAACAGACAATTATGGGCTTTGGAGTTGCACAATGCGAATTGCTCTTTTGGCCAAAAATAAGCTAGGGTTTATCGATGGATCCTTTATGCGGCATTCAAAAGCTATTCAAGCTTAGCAATAGGACCGAGGTGATGCGACAATTAGGTCTTGGATTATGAACATACCATTTCAACAGATTTAGTTGCTGGGGTCATTTATGGAGAAAATGCAGCCATAGTTTGGAAAGATCTTTAAGAGATCTATAACAAGATAAATGGATCGCGAATCTATTCAATCATGAAGGAGATTGCTACAATCCAGCAAGGTATGTCCACGATTCCTGCTTACTATACAAGACTGAAGATTCTTTGGGATGAATATGCTTCAATGCTTCAGCCTGCTAGCTGTGCTTGTCCTGTTTCTAAAGTCACCAAAGAGCATGAACAAACCCAAAAGGTTATGCAGTTTCTTATGGGTCTAAATGAGAGTTATTTGGCAATCCGAAATTCTATCTTGTTGATGAATCCATTACCAACAATTAATATTGTTTATTCAATGCTCAATCAAGAAGAGAAACAGCAAGGAATTACAAACAGTATCAACAATCAATATGAAGTTTCAACTTCTTTTACTCATAAGGCTCCAAATAACCAATCTCAAAGCACCAAACAGAAGAAATCTATGGAGTGTGAATATTGTCATTTGACAAATCATACAATCAATTATTGCTAGAAGCTACATGGATGCCTTGAAGGCTAACAGAGAAATAAGCTAAAGAAAGGATCTAATTACAAGACTCCTATTGCAAATCACAGTGAATCTAATGTGCATGATAATCAGCAACAAAATTTTGCCTCTGTAAGCAAGCCTATGAACATCTTTACTCCAGCTCAGTACCAGGAAATACTCAAATTCTTGGGAAAGAAGGTTCAAGCATCACCAACAATTTGACTTATAAGTAAAGAATAAAAGGCAGGTCCTAGAAGCCTCTGAGTTGTTGGACTCAGTCCATATCAAGTTATGGTTAAATTAGAATTAAAGGGTAATACTATATTTACAACTCAATCTCACAAACGTTTTCTCACAATACAAGCGTAACAGTTTGTAATTGGTTAGTTTGCAAATAAGTCTCGCCTGCTCACTATGAATCCCGTCTAACTAATTGCAAACTGACCAATCTTTATCGATAGAATTAACAATACTTCATCCTTATCCCATTCTATATTTAAATAGTATAAAAATAAAATAATTTAGAAAAAGATACATGTCCTTAACATGAAATTCCCAACAACGACATTGGGCTTGGATGGGCCCATTGGTAGACAAATAAGAAATAAAAAGGATATGATTCTTTATTCTCACATATTTTATCATTCAAATTCGTCTTCAATTTTTGTTTTATTTATTTTTTTACTTTTTATGAGGAGTGTGTTCGAAGCCTTTGGGTCAGCTTATGCACACTTCAATTAACCCCTCGAGACCTTGGAACCCTTAAAACTACCGGCTAGATAAAAGCTCCCGTGACTACCCTTATTAGCAATCGATGAAGGACTCGAGCTCATGACCTCTTGAGTAATACATCCAAGAGTCCCTATCAAATCACTCGGTCACCTAGAGATAGTTAACTCGTCTTCAATTCAAAAGGGGAAGTGAGTTTTAGCTCCCATCATATTGATAAATATCTTTTATTTTTAATTTTTCTTTTAAATAATTTTAACCTTAATGAAAATTTCTATATAACATAATAATTTTCAAATATATTTGTACTTTATTTTTATATTTTTGTTTTAATTTTGAACATTTAATCTAAATCTTCTAAATCTTTAATTAAGAAATTGAGAAAAAATGGGNGAATAAAATGCCTTTTATTATTGATTAATGAACATTATTACAAAGAGTCAATTCTACAATAATTGATTGGCTCTAGGGCATCTACTCTAACAGCTGGATCGTTCCTTTGGTGATCAGGTGATCCCCTATAAAACCGTAAAGAGGCATCGAGGTGAGCTTCAAGGCGGCCTCGTCTAGGTTCATTCTATCGAAAGCGGTCTTGAACAGGATGTTCACAGCGCTTCCGTTGTCCACAAGCATTCTGCAAACATTATGGCACCCTATCAGGGGCGTGATTACCAGGGCGTCCTCGTGAGTATGGTGCAAGCGAGCTGCTTCCTTCTCGCAGAAGGTGATCGGCTCCTCCTTTCGAGCTTTTTGTGGTCACTGTGAAGTGTTCATTACCCTGATCGGGTTGTGATATGCTTCGTGAGTGTACCTTTCCTACGCACCTTGTGTGTTTCCCGCGAGGTGCGGGCCTCCGAAGATTATGTTAACACTACTGTATCCACTACGATCACGATGCTTTTTCCTCTGCTCCCCTTGGTTCTCTTTTGGAGAGTCATCAATATACTCTTTGAAGTGCCCTTTCTTGATGAGCTCCTCGATGGCCTACTTTAGAGCTCGGCATTCATCAGTGTGATGCCCGTTATCTTGATGGAAACAGCATTATTTTTTGCTGCTCCTGGCCATACCAGGGGTTTTCATGGGTTCAAGGATTGCAGATATGGACACGTTCAGCGGAGTGTACTGAGCTCTGTCTCGGTCGAGACGAGGAACAGGAGCATAGGACTTCTTGTGTTCGGAGCGGGGTTTCTTCCCTTTTCACTGATTATCAATGTCTCCTTTGCGATCAGCTCTCTTATTTTCTCCCCGACCAGACATACTGCTTGAAGTGCCGTTATCGCGATGGCGGAGTGCCGCCAATGAATTCTTTATTCGGAGATATTTTTCTGCAAGGTTGTAAAATCTGGTGAGGGAAACATTGTCCTCAGCCTACAGTTC